CACTGCCCTTTTCTAAAACGTCATTATCTTCTTCTCTACAAAGTTCATTTAGCCAGGCTTCATTAAACTCTACATCTTTATAATGAATATTTGAACATTTTAAATACTGCAGCGCTTGCCTTATGTGCATAGTGTCCACAAACTGATATTCATAATGACCCTTATAGGTTAGCTTACGCTTCAGTTTGACACACAACAAAGATCCCTCCATATTAGAACGCAGCAACAAATTGTCAGTCTGCACAACATTAGATGGAACACATGTTACTGGCCCATGACCTCCATTTTGCCCACCTTTAGGTAATGCCAACATCTTCATAAATGGAATATGTAAAGCAATCAGATGTTGTTTTAGACTATTCAAACAAGCCAATTCTGCTGCAATAGCATGCACACTCAAATTGTTCATTGAACATTCTGGTGGCATTACACCTTTATTAATCCTACGATGACACGTGTAACAAATCCACAACTGACCTTGAGCTGTACCCAACCACTGACACGGCCTCACACAGTCCTCACTACATTTGTGTAAATAATCTTCAGTTATACATTTATCTGCAAGTGAAGCTATTGCTTTTCTCTGATTATAATAATCTCTTTTGCGATTTAAAACCTGATGTCTAAACAATAATCTATGGCAGACACAACACACAAAATCTGGTCCTTCCTTAACTTTATCTAAAAAGTGCTCCATAACAAAATCAAACTGCTGTGCCTGTTCTTTCATTTGCTGCATTCTCAGTTTATTAAGTGCTGTGACATATTTCTTATGTTCAGGATTTCTATGATACTTACTGTTATTATATTTCTTAACTGCCTCCCTATGTGAACGATTTGTCTTGTACTTAGTTTTGCTAAATTTCTTAACTGCCTCCCTATGTGAACGATTTGTCTTGTACTTACTCTTGCTAAATCTTAACTGTCTGCCTATGTGAACAGTTTGTCTGATATTTATTTTTACTCAATTCCTTAAGTTTTTGTCTATACACAGTATTTTGCAAATATATCGTTTTGATCACACTTCCCTGATATTTAATTTTCCTACGGAATCTCTTTTTCATCTTTAGACACTTAGAAGAATAAGATTTAATAATCGGAGTAGCCTGTGCCTGAACATTTGACTTGTGTTCTGTAACATTATCTTCTACAACCACAACCTCTTCAACTATACAACTTCTTTTTTGACTATGTTTCTGCCTAAGCTGGTACCTCCCTAAAGAAGACATATCTACTTTACAGTAACTATAGCAAGTCTGCATGTTTGGCTGCTGAACACAAACAACAGTCTCATAATGATTACCATTGCAATTTTCTAAATAAATCCCCTGATTTGACAACAGCTTGTACTATATTCAAGCCAGCGACCATCACAGTAAGTGAATATACTTACTCCAAAAAAATCTGCTGCTGCTTGAATCTCTACTTCTGTGGCCCAACTACCGACATAGGCCATTTTTGACATTGTGAGATATTCCTCCATTGAAGAATACTCAGATCTTAAAATACCACCACTGGCTTTCAAATGCTTTACTACAGCAAGTCTAATAACTGCTTAAAGAAGTTGTTCCCTTAATTGGCACTTCTTTACTGGATATGATTAATCTTTCTTTATTATCAGGATATGTACCACAGTCCTTTAAAGTAGCTGTAATTAAACCCCTTCTTAAAAAGCCCACTCTTGACCCAGGGGTTTTAGCTAACTATAGACCAATCTCTAACCTCCCCTTCCTCTCTAAGATTCTGGAGAAGGTAGTCGCCAAAGAGTTGTGTGACTTTCTACACAACAATAGTTTATTTGAGGATTTTCAGTCAGGATTTAGAGTTCATCATAGCACAGAGACAGCTCTGGTTAAAGTTAATAATGACCTTCTGACTGCTTCTGACAATGGACTTGTCTCTGTACTTGTATTATTAGATCTTAGTGCTGCATTTGACACCATTGACCATAATATTCTTTTACAGAGACTTGAGCATCAAATTGGCATTAAAGGAACTGCACTAAGCTGGTTTAAGTCATATTTATCAGATCGTTCGCAGTTTGTACATGTTAACGATGAATCTTCAATAAATACTACAGTTAGTCATGGAGTTCCACAAGGTTCTGTACTTGGACCAATACTATTTACTTTATATATGCTCCCTTTAGGCAACATTATTAGGAATCACTCCATTAACTTTCACTGTTATGCAGATGATACGCAGTTATATCTATCGATCAAGCCCGATGAAATTAATCAATTATCTAAATTACAAACATGTCTTAAGGACATAAAATCCTGGATGACCTGCAATTTTCTGATGTTAAACTCAGAAAAAAACTAAATTCTTGTTCTTGGCCCCAAAAACCTTAGAGACTCACTGTCTAAAGATATAGTTACTCTAGATGGCATTACCTTGGCCTCTAGCACCACTGTCAGGACTCTTGGAGTTATCTTTGATCAGGATTTGTCTTTTAACTCCCACATGAAGCAGACCTCTAGGACTGCATTCTTTCATTTACGTAATATTACAAAAATTAGACACATCCTATTACAGACGGATGCAGAAAAACTAATCCATGCATTTGTTACTTCAAGGCTGGATTACTGCAACTCTTTATTATCAGGTTGCCCCAATAAGTCCATTAAAACGCTCCAATTAATTCAGAACGCTGCAGCACGAGTACTGAAAGGAACTAGAAAAAGAGATCACATCTCTCCTGTACTAACTTCTCTGCACTGGCTCCCTGTATGTAGAATAGTATGTAGTATCTAAATGTAGAATAGAATTTAAAATCCTCCTCCTCACCTATAAAGCTCTTCATGGTCAGGCCCCTTCATATCTTAAAGAGCTCATAGTACCCTTTTACCCCTCTAGGACACTACGTTCTCTGAATGCTGGGCTACTTGTGGTTCCTATAGTCTCTAAAAGTAGAACAGGAGCCAGAGCCTTCAGTTACCAAGCTCCTCTCCTGTGGACCCAGCTTCCAGTTGTGGTTCGGGAGGCAGACACCCTCACCACATTTAAGAGTAGGCTTAAGACATTCCTCTTTGATAAAGCTTATAGTTAGGGCTGGATCAGGTGAGTCCTGAACCATCCCTTAGTTATGCTGCTATAGGCCTAGACTATCGGGGGATTTCCCATGGTGCACTGAGCTCCTCTCTTCCTCTCTCTTTCTGCACTCATCCATGTTCCATTAATGCATGTTACTAACTTCACTTCTTCCCCGGAGTTCTTGTGTTTTCTCGTCTCGCAGGTTCTTATCGATCCTGGTGGAGCCTCCTGCCATGGTCCTGCTAGATTGCCATTGCCAATACTGTTGTTGCTGTGCACCTGTCTGTCTGTCTGTCTGTCTGTCTGTCTGTCTGTCTCTCTCTCTCTCTCTCTCTCTCTCTCTCTCTCTCTCTTTCACCCCAACTGGTCGAGGCAGACGACCACCCACCTAGAGCCGAAGGATCTGTCCTAAGTTTCTGCCTTTTAACAGGCAGTTTTTCGTTGCCCTTGTCGCGAAGTGCTTGCTCATGGTGGTACTGTTGGGTCTCTGTAAATAATGTTTTAAAGAGTTCGGTCTAGACCTACTCTATTTGAAAAGTGTCCTGAGATAACTTCTGTTATGAATTGGCGCTATACAAATAAAATTGAATTGAATTGAATTAATTTTCCTGTGATACTTCTGTGTACCACACACAGCCTGACTAACTGCTCTAAAGAAACAGTTACCATCCCCAACTATTTTCTCATAATTTAGGCAAGTGAAATACACAACAACTCACTTTTCCCTTCTCCATCCATCATCCCATCCGCACTGCGCGCATGCGTATCAACTACAGCAATACGGCCACCTTGACTAATGACTGCGCATGTATTTCCACCCAATGTCAGAAAACGTCATATTTACTAAACATCTTATCTAATCCAGACCTGAGACTGGTGATTGCACCAGCATCAATCAGTTCACCTGTCACTACATCAATATATCCAGAAACACAATTCCCATACTCAAAGTCAAACATTGCTGTCCCTAAACGTATTGTAAAGTTTATCCCCCAAAACAACAACCTTGTCCAGATTGTCAGCCTGCCACAAAAACACACTATCAAAGGGGTGTTTTGCTACGGCTACCAAACTGATAGCCATACACTGAACTCCGCGTGTTGAAACCGAGGATCTGCCTGATGGAAAGATCCCCTGACAGAACTTGCATTACTCTGCGAACTGCCACCCTCGACTACAGCTGCAGTTGTAACTGTGACATCAACATCTACATCTGTCAGCAATGTACTACTGTCAATGTCAGAATCTGCCTTCACAGACAACCTGCTAATGACATACCACTCTGCACCCACCTTAAGATTTCGGATATGCAATATCAGGTCACGCAGGGATGTGTTAAAAACAGCTACAGACCTGCCAATATTAGATGCCAAACCAGATGCATCACAAGTACCACAATCAACTACCACAAAGTAACCATTGTGCTCAATAATAGCACCGTGGAGGTTCAAGAGACACATTCCATCAGTCAACAAAGGTTCCTGTAATTTTTCAAATAACACAGACTCGTCCAAGTCAAAACTTCTGTAGACTGATGGACCAATAGCTACATTCCACTTCCTGCCAAAAACACTGTGCTGTTTAATGAACTCACATAGCTCATTTTCAAAGCCACTATTCCTATTTGATTTAGCTACAAAACTAGCCAACTTCTTGCCTAACAAATGTTATCAACATCTCTGTTGCTGCGCTTAAACATGTTATTGCTCCTGTGTGTACATGACACACAGGAGCAATAACATGTTTAAGCGCAGCAACAACACTGCACGCAATAGACACATCAGTTGTTGACGGCGCAACCATTACATTAGTACCAGAAACATCCTCAGTTGTTGGCGCAACTTTGACATTAGTACCAGAAACATCAGCAGTTGTCGGCACAACTCTGACTTTAGTACCAGAAACAACAGCCACTTGCTTTTTCTCTGCACACATGCCAGAGTGAGGGTTAGCATCACACTTACTTTTGATGAATCTTGATGGGCGCTGAATAGGGGGACCTGACCTGCTGACCTCCTCCTCCTCCACAACCTCTTCCACAGCAGTGGTAGATGATGGCTCTGAGGACATGCACCTGGAGTTGCATCCACCGAAAAAAAGTTTTTAAAAATACATTAACAAAACTGTCATTTTTGCATTTGAGAGAACTTGCTAGTCATATACAATAATTTTGAATGTGAATTACACAATTTGTTTTGGCCAATGCACACATGCACATAAAATTGAACTGATTTAGAATAAAGTGTACCAACCTCCTCCTTTGCAACCACACAGCGGCAGGTGTCAGCCTGGGAGACACCTCCACAACACTGGGTGTTGCCTTGACCTGTTTACACAAAAACAAAACCATGTATTTTCTTATTGTTTTCAATAATTTACAAAGTATTGCAAAGTAAAGAAACAATTGCATTTTTGGTGCCTGCCATTTGAACTGTACAAATCAGTCATTTCATTAATAGAATAAAGACAAACCTGGCACATTGCAAGTCTCCTCTTGCAGGTAAGTTTCAGTCTTTGTTCCACATTTGGTTTCTGATGTAAGAAAATGAAAACACACTTTTAGAACAAATATGTGTGTGAGTGTTTTAAGGTAAACAATACAGTTTTAACAGATCTCAATCAACACATCACATTTTCAATCAAATTACCGTTGCGTCTTGTGGAATAGCTGGGCAATCCAGGCTCGGAAGATGTGCTCGAACCACAGCATCCATGGCAGCCAACATGGAACTGCTGAACTTGACAGGATTCAGGGGGATGAAACACTCCTTCAGCACAATTGGACATCCATCCACCTGTGAAATAAACATAGAAGCAGCCTATTAGTCAGAAATGTCATTGTCTAAAATCAATGTGCATAGATATAGAATCAATAAACATATCTTAACCATTAATGTTAGGGTATACCACAAACCTGATGCCGAACCAGCCTGCTTTCAGATAGCCTAGAGGGATGCTCCTCAGATTGGATCCTCTGTAATGACAAATAGCAATAATTTTATTAAAATGAATGCATGGTGAACATTTCTGAATTAACTATTTAGCAATTATCAGTGGGAAAAACACAAGTACAGTATGCAAATTTTACCTTCTTGCCCTTCACCATTTTCCATCCAGGGTGATGTTCTCGGAACATTCTGTGCCTTTGGTGCTGGCACCTCGAGTTGCTTGTAGGCAGCATCCCTAGTAAAACTTGGCAAGAATCTCCATGCCCTCGTCATCGCTCAAGTGAACCTGAAAATGTTAGAATAATTAATAAAAAGAAATAAACATTTACTTTCAATATGTATCTACTATAAATTACTACAACTACAAATAAGTGTAAATGAAACTTCCTTGTGTGCACACAGTATATGCTACTTACACCATCTGTGACCCACAGATCCAGCCGACTGAAAGTGAAATGTTCAAACGTGGAGTAGTACGCAATACCTAAGAGGGAAAAAATATATATGAATTATTAATATACTTGCATATATTATCTTTAGCAAATTAACAAAGCAAATCTATTTCTAATATATTGTAATATTTATTCAAACACTATCTGAGAAAATATTATTCATTACATATGTAACTTTAACAGCTATTTGAAACATACCCTCTGACTTCGCCACAGAATGAAACTTCCGGCTCATGTGCTTCTGCAGTTCTGGTGCAACATTCAGACGCGGAACAAAGTCCACCACAAACACCTAAAACACAATAACAGTTTTTAAATACAAAACCAGTTTTGTTCAAAATGACATTCCATTTAAATACACATAACTTATACTGCAACACCTCATTTAAGCATATTAATTACTGAACAGAAAATATAGTGTTACAGAAAATAAACAAAACAACTTACATTTTCCCAACGATGACGTGCACTGGTCAAAAGCTTCTGAAACTCTTCTCCGGCCACATCATGGGTACTGCTGGTCGTCAGGTTGTTGCTGGGGGCCAAAATGCACACTGCATCAGGTGTCCGGGGCAGTGTTGCATCGATCAACTCGGTCCTCAGATGAGACGCGCTGGCCCCTGGAGTCGACATGACGCCAAAGGAAAGATTTCCCTTTGAGATCTTGACAGTTCCATCTGCAATGGTGCGCAGATGGGAATCCCCAATGGTCGTCAGCCTTCCTCTCTCCTCTTAGCGGCCTGAGAACGACAGTGGGATTTGCCACATGGCATCTAAAAGTATATAACATAATTGATTAGTTATAACAACAACAAGACACTATATGCTCAATGGAAAGTTAAGATTGTAAACAACGAAACCAGTAATAAATTCAGATTATTTACTGTAAGTGAGCTGTCATGTGCAAACCATGATAAGCAGAGTTGCTGTACACATTCACAGATTTTATACACAGATGCTAATAATAGCTGCTATGACTGCTTCATAAACTCCTGCTTGTTAACAGCACATAACATACTTTTTACATCCTGACTTGGACAAAGAGAGCAGTGACCAGTTGTGTATGATTGACTAGTACAAGGTGTGATAGGGTGTGGCATTCAGGCAGTGTGCCTTTCTTTCAAACACAGATTACAATTTATTCACACATGATTAGTAAAATAATGGGCTTTACTTATGTAAATGGCTGTGTGTTTGCCATTCATCATTAACATAGTTGTTTGACTGAAACAACCATTGAAGCTGCTCAGAGTACAGTTGGTTTCTTTATAACTACTTTACTTACTATTTGTGCTATTTACATTACACTTAATCTCTTTCCTCACTTTACTTCTACAAACTCCACATTACTCATTAGTTGTAAAGACAAAAAATAATTCAACTGAAACATGTCCATTTGCAGTTAAAAATTATGGCAATGCCCATTAATATATATTTTTGTTTTTGTGCCCATGCATGATGGTACCTGACTTAGTTCAGGAATTTCAGAGACATCTTTCACAAAAATGTGTTTGTCATGACATAGTTTATAATCAATTGTTACCAGATTGTTATTTTAAGTTTTGTGTATGGAATGAGCTCAACTGTTTTTGTTTTCTTTCGTGTTCACAATGGCAAAAATCTTTTATGGTATACCTTCAGTTTGTTTGTAAAAATCAACATTAGGATCTGATGTCTTTCCCCACCCAGTAGCTTCATTGCATTTTCTGGTCCAATAAGTTCTCCCACCTGTCATGTTTAGATTTGACCAATGAGACATAAGGATCTGAGTTTGGTTCCTGAAACAGAGTTTGACATTGTGGATTTCTTCACTACATGACAGTTGGGCTGTGTATCTCTCTATCGTGTGTGCCTGATGCTCCTACTGTTATCATGTGTCTCGCACTCATTTTATTTATTTATTTAGTTTTTTGAATTTTTTAGCTGCATTGATTGTATGTTCTGGCATTATTTCGTATGCCTTGTGCATGTATTTAGCATAAATCTCTAAGTAATCAATTTTCTGTTTTGACTCATAACATAGAATGGCATGGTAAATCAGTTCCTGTATGTCCAGCTTTTGTCTTGCATATGAATGTGTCTGTGTCAGTGCTCTCACATGTCTGATGTGTTGGTGGATCTCTCGTCTCAGTCCTTGCGTCCAAACCAGATGGGGCCTTCACTGTCCCCGGCCCACCCTCTAGTCAATCGGCTGGTGCCTCCTGGCCTCAAACTCTTCTGCCGTGTCCTCAGCCTTGTCCGCATCCCGTAGATAGGTTCTCATACACCATCAGCTGGTCCAGTTGTAATTTGAAGGTTTCCATAGTCTCAAGTCACACAGTCACGTTTCACCATATCACTGATTTCTGGCTTAATGCCTTGGATGAAACTGTCTCTCCAGTGGGCCTCACAGGGTGATATGGGATTGTTCCCCCCCATAGCCTCTGATCTACGAAGTCCACTGTGTGTTTTGTGGACCAGTGTGAGTCTGGCTAGATATTCTGCCACAGTCTGTGTCGAGGTTCTGATAGAGTCTCTTTGCGCCTGAATCCTGGAGGGATTCTGTTGGTGGCGTCTGTTGTTGTTGAGGCTGCTGCGGCTGCTCATGGTGCTGGCTGGTCTTCTCATAGTGGTCTTCTGGGTGGAGCCGAGTCCAGATCAGGATCTAGTTTGAGGCACTGAGACGTAGAGGTGTTTAGTGATTCTGTCCCTGCCTAAGTTTTCTGTCCCTAATGTTTCCATATACATATACATGTACTGATATACTTTATTAGATAATATACTATCCAATCTGCTCTGAGAACATTTCCTTTTTTTCTTTCTTTTGCTTTGTTGTTCTTTCCCTTCTCATTTAGTTTTTAATTCAATTTTTAGTTTTTTTTCTTTAACCCACATGTCAAGTTGGTCAGTACTTTGTTTATAGTTGGTTAAAAACGGAATGTTAGCAGTCAACAGGAGTAATAACAATGGAGACTTTTTATCTTTTGAGCTCTTGCTATTGGTTGAACTAATTTTCCCATTTAATTTCTTAAAACAAATTCCCCAAAAGTGACAAAAGGAATCATGCCTTTGTTATTCTCTCAAAGTGATGTTGATTTCACAATTTTTCTTTAAATTTAGAATTTGTCCATTTCCAAATTTCCATGGACCTTGAAGCTGACTGTTACAGAAAAGACTTTTACAGATCCAAAATTAATGTCCCTTTAATTTTCTTGGGAACCTTTAAATGTTCAAAGAGGAAAAACTCTTTTCTTTTCCATTTAATTTTCTGCAGTAAAATATTCACTCTCTCTCCCTTTCCTTTTTTTTTTCTTCATAATTCATTCACACATGCATGTAACTTCATGCATCAGACTCAAGTCTCCTGGCCATTCAACCCTGCATGCATTACTAGACGAGTCCCGGACTCTCTTGGCTATAGCTCTTTAACCTGAAGCTCCGGCGATTCTGCAGCAGTCTTTACCTGCCCTGCTGACACGTCTGTCACATACCACTGCAGGGCAGCGAGAATCGATTACCCTGGGCCCCCCTGAATATACTTACCAGAAAGACAGAGTCGTCTAGACCACCTGGTTCTTTGGATCACAGCAGTGAGCGAGCTTCGGTTCTCAGGCGTCAGGCCCTCACTTCTCTACCCTAGTTTGGCGGGGAGGTTCAATTCAATTTTATTTGTATAGCGCCAATTCATAACAGAAGTTATCTCAGGACACTTTTCAAATGGAGCAGATCTAGACCAAACTCCTTATAACATTTACAGAGACCCAACAGTACCACCATGAGCAAGCATTTGGCGATGGGGGGCAAGGAAAAACTGCCTTTTAAGAGGCAGAAACCTAGGACAGACCCTTCGGCGCTAGGTGGGTGGTCGTCTGCCTCGACCAGTCGGGGTGAGAGAGAGCGAGAGAGAGTGAGAGAGAGAGAGAGAGAGAGAGAGAGAGAGAGAGAGAGAGAGACACAGACAGACAGACAGACAGACAGACAGTTGCAAAGCAACAACAGTAGCAACAACTACACCAATAGTAGTGACTGATGATGATGAACATGAAGAAGACGATGACGACGCAACAGCAACGATGGGGGACAATGAGCAGTGACAATAGTAATAATAGTAACTGTAGTAATAATAATATTCATAATAATGATAACAACAATATCAGTGATATTAGCAATGGCAGTCAAGCAGGACCATGGCAGGAGGCTTCACCAGGATCCATGAGAACCTGCATGACGAGAAAGCACCAGAACTCCGGGGAAAAAGTAAAGGTAGTAACATGCATTAATGGGACATGAATGATTGCAGAGAGAGAGAGGAAGAGTGGAGCTCAGTGCACCATGGGAAATCCTCGATAGTCTAGGCCTATAGCAGCATAACTAAGGGATGGTTCAGGACTCACCTGATTCACCCCTAACTATACACTTTATCAAAGAGGAATGTCTTAAGCCTACTCTTAAATGTGGAGAGGGTGTCTGCCTCCCGAACCACAACTGGAAGCTGGTTCCACAGGTTGAGGTCAGAGTCCTAGACTCTAGCCGCGCACGGTCTTTACCTTCAGCCCTGAGTGTCCAAAGTCCTGTCACACGAGTGATCCTGCCGACAACGCCAAAATGTGGTGGCAATTTGTTTAATAAATAAATATGATCTTGACTTTCTGTAAGGTTTTATTCGAGTCATCCATGAACGCTCTCAACACAACTGTCACACACTGGTATGTGAAAGTCCGAAAGAGCCCCGATTGGAAGAAGCACTATGGTTTTATCCCTGTTGGAGCACACAGTTACACAGTTACACATTCCTGAGTTCTGGGACAGTAAACAGACAGATAGTGTGGTGAGATGATCATTCAATTCAATTCAATTTTATTTGTATAACGCCAATTCATAACAGAAGTTATCTCAGGACACTTTTCAAATAGAGCAGGTCTAGACCGAACTCTTTAACATTAATTACAGAGACCCAACAGTACCACCATGAGCAAGCACTTGGCGACAAGGGCAAGGAAAAACTGCCTGTTAAAAAGCAGAAACCTAGGACAGATCCTCCGGCTCTAGGTGGGTGGTCGTCTGTCTCGACCAGTTGGGGTGAGAGAGAGAGAGAGAGAGAGAGAGAGAGAGAGAGAGAGAGAGAGAGAGGCAGAGAGAGAGAGAGCGAGAGAGAGAGGCAGAGAGAGAGAGAGAGTGAGAGACAGACAGACAGACAGGTGCACAGCAACAACAGTATTGGCAATGGCAGTCAAGCAGGACCATGGCAGGAGGCTCGACCAGGATCCATGAGAACCTGCGAGACGAGAAAGCACAAGAACTCCGGGGAAGAAGTGGAGTTAGTAACATGCATTAATGGGACATGAATGAGTGCATAAAGAGAGAGGAAGGGAGGAGCTCAGTGCACCATGGGAAATCCCCTGATAGTCTAGGCCTATAGCAGCATAACTAAGGGATGGTTCAGGACTCACCTGATCCAGCCCTAACTATAAGCTTTATCAAAGAGGAATGTCTTAAGCCTACTCTTGAATGTGGTGAGGGTGTTTGCCTCCCGAACCACAACTGGAAGCTGGGTCCACAGGAGAGGAGCTTGGTAACTGAAGGCTCTGGCTCCTGTTCTACTTTTAGAGACTATAGGAACCACAAGTAGCCCAGCATTCAGAGAACATAGTGTTCTAGTGGGGTAATAGGGTACTATGAGCTCTTTAAGATATGAAGGGGCCTGACCATGAAGAGCTTTATAGGTGAGGAGGAGGATTTTAAATTCAATTTTACATTTTACAGGGAGCCAGTGCAGAGAAGCTAGTACAGGAGAGATGTGATCTCTTTTTCTAGTTCCTGTCAGTACTCGTGCTGCAGCGTTCTGAATTAATTGGAGCGTTTTAATGGACTTATTGGGGCAACCTGATAATAAAGAGTTGCAGTAATCCAGCCTTGAAGTAACAAATGCATGGATTAGTTTTTCTGCATCTGTCTGTGATAGGATGTGTCTAATTTTTCTAATATTACGTAAATGAAAGAAGGCGGTCCTAGAGGTCTGCTTTATGTGGGAGTTAAATGACAAATCCTGATCAAAGATAACTCCAAGATTCCTGACAGTGGTGCTAGAGGCCAAGTTAATGATCATGTCCTTCGCTTCTTAGTGAAGTCTCAACATCCCGCTGTTTACTTGGGCATAGAGTGTAGATAGAAACAGGGCTAAAGGTTATATGCATATAATGGCCTCTTCAACAGTTGCGTATGGTTTTACAATGACATGGTCAAAGGGTTGTATAGGTTCTTAAAAATTGCCATTACAACAGAAAGACAAGATCATACTTTGTATGCTTTATTTAACAAATAGCCACCACAGTACAAAGCACTGATGAAAGTGATAAATATTCATGAATGAACTACCAACCCAAACACTGTAGGACTTATGTAGGACTGATATTTGTCAAACCAGAGATATAGAACATGAATAAAACCCAAACATTTACTTATTCATAAATTAAACATGACTCCATCTGTGTCGAACAGTGAGAGGAGGTTGTTGAGTGTTGTGTCTGTAGTGACGTGTTCCTGCAACTGAGGGATGATAGTGTCTCTGCAGGAGGAAATAAGTCAGATGGTGCAGAGCTTCTTTTATTCTGCTAAAAAAAAATAAAAGCCCTTAACAGTGTTTAAGTGACAGAGTGTGTGTGTGTGGAAATTACACAGCGGGTTGGCAGGAGCATTTTCCAGTTGGATGATGGTGAACAGGGCACCTTGTAGCCTTAGGCAGCAGTATGGATCTGAGGAGCAGGCCTAAAAGCTTTCTGAAATAGATTTTTGGCTTCAAAGTGACACCCTCACCTAATGTCAGGGCAGGTCTGGATTGGGTGAGTTAATGTGTCTCTTTTCTCTGTTCTTGCAAGCTGTATTTGTACAATTATTGTATGAGACATTTTCATTATGAATTAGTTTTGATTCTATGATGAGGCTGTTCTGAGTTACAATCTAAATATCAATTGATTCTGAATGTTTCAATGGCCAAGCAGTAAAACACTGAAAAGCTTAACATGGATTTTAAAGAGCTCATTTCTACTCTTGTTGACTCTGGTAAAGACATTTTAATTTCTGGTTCTCTGCCCTCATTCAACTGGGGCTGCAAAAGATTCTTGCAGTTAATTTCCCTGAATGACTGACTGGAACATCATTGCATATCTCTGCCAGAGCAGTTTATAGAACCAACCTTCTACAAATGTGATGCAATCCACCTGAATATAAATGGATCATCGATGCTTGCTTCTAATATGTAATTTTTTCTAAACCGTTGTCAGTTGATGTTACCGACTGAATGACAACAATATTTTTAGATGTGAAGAAAACGTCTTGGGGAAGGGATATCTATCTACATGTATATATCTAACACACAATCCAGTATACTAAGCAACTATGGAGCAATTACAGAAAGTGAGTTGAGGTCAGCTGGGTTCAGTTAATGTCTGCATCTTTTTATGTTGGAAACCAAAGGCATTCAGAGCATGTTGTTATCTGTTAGTAGCTGGTACAACCACAAGGCTGAGTGGTAATTAATTCCCCTTGACATCTTTTCCTAGTACTTCCTATGCTGTCACACTCAGTGTGAGAGAAACTTTCAATCAAATTCTCTGTAGCTAGGTTAAATGTAATGCACATTTTAACAGAATTCACAGAAAAAGCTGCAGACTTATTGACTACTGATGTGTGGAAGAGGAAAGTTGTTGCCTGTTTAAGAAGTACTAAGTGAAACGTTGTTTGCTTGCAAACAATGATTACTAATGCTATGCGATTGTGACAAATTATGTTATTCAGTGTCCTTGTGTTTTTATGGCGCATCTAGGCTAGACATCATCCAGTGGCTTTATTTCAGCTACTTCACAGAGACAGTGTTAGAAGAAAAAAAAAGTACATGCAGTGGTTTTATTTTGAGCTGGTGACTTGATGTTGTGTTATATTTGGATGTGAGGGGGAAAGTGCGGCTCAAAGAAAAGACTGACAGAGCATAAAAAGTTTAGTTTACCTTAGATAGACCTGAGTAACACATTTTGACATACAATAAACCTCCATAATGACTGTAAATGGTAAATGGACAGTACTTATATATCGTCTTTCTAGTCTTTCGACCACTCAATGCGCTGTACTTCATAACTCACCACATTCACACACACCAGAACGGAAACTAAGCATTTACGCAGTCATAGCAGAGGGAGCAATTTGGGGTTCAGTATCTTGCTCAAGAACACTTTGATATGCAGCGAGAGGAGCCAGGAATCGAACAGCCAGGAATCAAACAGCCAACCTTCCAATTAGTGGTTTACCCGCTCTACCTCTGAGCCACAGCTGAGTGCTTCGATACATGCTCTGATGCGAGCTGAATGAATGCAACATGTAACATTAATTACAGCAGAATGTAAACGAACAGAATTCCTGCTTTATCTGTATATCCATTTATACATTTTATCATTTATCAAAGAAATGTGCTTTGTTGAAAGTAGGTATTTTTTAGATGGTCTCCCCTTTCCATTGAGTGCCTGCTATTGATAATGCATTAAACATCAATTGTAGTTTTTCTACTTTTACTTAAGTCATTTTTAACACCTGTAGTTTTGTTGAGTAATATTTCAATGTCACAGTACTTATTTATTATTTTAATAATTAAATTGTACAAAGTTATTGGTCTCATTAACTTTGTCCTAATTTATCAAAGTCCTTCTCTAATCCGTTTCTTGAGATTAATAACTTAGCAGCTGCTAATGGTGTGAGGATTTTGTCAAATTGTTTATTATTTCATATTTATGTTCTCACTCTTGCAGCCACCAGCCAAAACTGCAAGTATTAAAGAGATTATATTGTGGTAATTTTATTGCCTCAATGTTCAATAGTTCATTTTCTTACACTGGCCATTGCTGCAGCACCTCTATTGACCCTTTGTCTGACACAACCAGTCACGCGGCAAGCCCAGGCTCATACAGCTTCATTTCTGAACACAATGCTTTCTACATCTGTTTTGAGTGATACACAACATCTGCAGCATTAGATACATGGCTGCTGCACAGCAACAGGACTTCAAATACAACAGTTCATGTCCTCAGATCACAAGATGACTTTATAACCTGAGTCAACTGTACCTGTACAACTGCTACATATATGTGATGCTACATACTGGTGACAGGCAGACAGTGAGGAATAAGACACACAGGTTGTCAGATAAAATATAAATCTTTATTACTAGAACTGAACACAATGTTGGTTCTTTGCCAATGAGAGACTATAACTTAAACATAAGCAGGCGTTTTTATGTTATGTTCACATTGAGAGGATGACATCTTGAAAGGGTTCACCTATTTAACTTCAACGCCATTTTCAAACTGACTTGGTTAAAAGGAAATGACAGCTCCTGCTTGCTTTCATTCTGTTCAGTGACTGCATTACTTGAAATACAACAGGTAGAGAGGACTACCAATATTGACAGATTTGCTGTCATGTTTTGGAAAATTGTGAGTGAGAGAATGCCGAGAACATAACATTTCCATATATACCAGTTGAAATTGATGCAGATAGTTTTTCCCCAGTTGGCAGAATATGAATACAGAATTATTATACCTAAACACTTCCTCATTGTATCGACAACACCACACATCTGTCACCCTGTACAATGAGAGCTCAGTCAGAGGAGTGTTATTTATCCAACAACCACAGTGTCATCATCTTGAAACTCGTAGTAGGGAACCTCCAGATTGAGGGGGGCGGGGCCTTTTCTAATGCGGCCTGAGGCGTCGTAGTGTGAGCCGTGGCAGGGACAGTAGTAACCTCCGAAGTCACCTGCGTTGGCGATGGGCACACAGCCCAGATGCGTGCACACCCCAAGGACGATGACCCAGCTGGGGTTGATGACCCGGTCCTTGTCGTGCTCAGGGTCACGCAGCTCTGCCAGGTTCACGTCGGCCTCTGCGGCGATCTCCTTCTCTGTGCGGTGACGGACAAACAGCGGTTTACCTCTCCACTTAAAAGTCATGTTCTTGCCTTCAGGGATGTCAGCCAGCTTGATTTCAATCTTGGACAGGGCCAGGACGTCAGCCGAGGCACTCATGGAAGAAACAAACTGAGTGACCACAGTCTTGGCAGTGTAGACGCCCACCATGGTTGTGGCACCAGTGACCAGGTACGAGAAGGTTCTTCTGGATTCACTGCTCTCCTGGGAGGACTTGTTGGGGTCGAGCACCTCTGGGCGCCTGTAATCTGAGAAGTCTGGTACCCTAATGTCTGTGTGGGCAAATCGGACTCCTGCACTGCCTGCAGACAAAAACAATGGGGTCATAAGGTTAGACTGCATAGATAAACTGGGTTGACCACTAACAGCCAATGTACACAAGATCCAGCTCCATATGTTTCGGCTGCTGGAGACGATCCATTACCAATCTATTCAGTGTGTGTCTCGGTCTATTTGCACCAGAGCAGGTTACATCTCTGAATGTCTGTATTTATTTATTGACTGACTTCAAATTTAAATCCAACAGTGTGTGCGTCTGTGGTAATAGATATAAATCATGGCTACCCAAAGTTGGCCGATTATAAGGTTTGATTTGTCTCGCCAGATGTTACTAGTGAAATTCTTTTTACATTTAATCTTAAAAAATTATAAATTGCAGTTTTATTTTTTGTGATGTTAAAATGCTCTGTAAATATGTAGGATCTCTGAGTATTATTTTTCATAGTCTGAGAGGGCAGAATGAAACTACAACGGATATCAAATAATTAAACTTTCAGTCCTAGAACCATTCTGCATTTTAACCAGGGCTGCACAGTTAATGCAAATGCTATTGAAATCACAATATGTGTGTACAGTATGTAAGTGCAAATCGCAAAAGCTGGAATTTTTTTGATAAAGTTCAAATGACATAACAGCATTATAATTATAGATAGGCCAATTATTTGGCCGGCTGATGCCTGCACTCACAAGGCTGACAGACAA